AACGGGCCCCAAGACCTTTGCGATGAGCAAATGGAAGGGTTCTGAGTGGAAGAATTTTTACATGTATGCCTTCCCCATTGTGCTCGACGTTCTCCAACAAAATTGCAATGGGGGTTCAGCAAAGGTTGGCATTATATGTTGTATAGGCTTAGCCAACGAGTCATAACAGGAGTGGACATAGTTTGGGAATTTTTTAATTTTGCCGTTTCAAAATTTTAGGGCTACCGTCATTAATAGGATTTGTAGCCACTCTGAAAGAATATATCAAAAATCGTATAGTTTTACCGAAAAATGTAAAGGATACAAGCCATCAAAGTTTACTACACTCATTGAAGTAATTTTCCGATTTTATCCTTGCAGTTGTTATGATAAAATCGGAAAAAATTGCTCCAGTCAGTGTAGTAAACTTTGACGGCTTGTATTCTTTACATTTGCCGGTAAAATTTTACGATTTTTGGTACATGCTTTCAAAGTGGACCAGGCTACAAATCCTACTAATGACGTTGGCCCGTCAAATTTTGAAACAGCAAAATTAAAAATTTCAACTAACTGTCCACTTCTCCTGGTATAGGACTCATTGGCTTAGCTAACATCTTGATTGGCGTTTGCCTAACAAAACTTTTATTCCAAACAGGTTTTTTCGTACTACACCTTCCTCATGCGTGCCCTCCTGTTGGACGAGGAGTGTTCCACCACTTGCAAGAAAGATGTAACCTGCCTGGCATAATGATGACATTCTACAAGCTTTACCAGAAGTCTGGTTACAGGTTGGTGCCAGCACTTGTTGTCTAACTATCACCAGTCCGGTGCTGTCAGCGTTGGCCATCCAAACATCATATTTGAAGGTTGGTAACCAAATTGATTCCATACAATATCACCAGGTTGGTTTCATCAGGTTCAAATTTTGAATAAATTTTTTCACAGTGTTCCATAATGATCCTGAAACGTAATGGAAGGTTGCGAGACTGAACTGTGACGTAGTTCCGAGGTGAAAATCGAGGTTGCATGAAACATTTAAGGAACAAAACTCAAACATATACTGGAAATCTGACATCCTTATAAGTGTCTTCCTATTTATTTCCTCGCATTTATTTATTTCCCAATTTATTTCCTTTCCCGGCGGCGGCGGGTGGTCCTCGTGGGCTTCCGGTTTTTCCGGAACTCGATGAAGTTGACCTCCACGTGGTTGGCGGTGAGAGACACACGCAGAGCGGAGGAATAAGGCACTTGATGCTGCTCCCGCTCAAGCCGCCCTGCTCGATACCCAGCTCGACGTCTTTCATGCGCAGCTCCAACAGCTCTTGACGTTGTAGATGTCGAGGTCAGACAGGTTCTTCGTCACGTTCGACGGCGAAATTGGCACCGAAATCTTCATAATCAGCTCTTCTTCAACCTTCCAGGTCTTTGATGCAAACCTGTTCTTCATCCTTTGTTGTCCACGACACTTTTTTCCCCACTTTCTTTCCCACAAAAGCCAAATTGGGCCTGAAAAAATGCCAAACAACAACCTCACTACATAAAAAATGATAAAATCAAACTACAAATATATTTTACTACATTAGAAACAAATGCCAAACACAAAATATGCCGGCCAAACTCCTAAAAAAAAGCCAGATTGGTCAAATTTGGTCGCAAAAAGGCCAAACTGGCAAGCCTGGTTGCTGCGCACATATTGCCATAGAAAAAGGAACACATTAATAAGTACCCGCCAGAGATTCTACAATTAATTCTAGAATCTCTGGTTGCCCCCATAGAGATCCCCACTCCCAAATCTATGGTCACCCTCACTAAGTTATCTATGAACTGTCCATTCATTTGCAAAAGAATAGACAACTGAAACCGGGTTTTGGTTTTTCACAATGACAAATTTTGCTGTTTTAAGCTTCTGCTGCATTAACAAAACGCTGAATACAAACAGAAAACCTGTATTCTTTCTGTAATCTCGGTTTGAACGAGACCTCGGCCATGGACTTCTATATAGATCTGGACTTGCACACTCTCTTATAAATTATAAATTTTCGCAAGACGCGCGACGCTACAATGGCAAAGGATACAGAAAGTATTTTCTTGAATTAAATTAAACGTCTGCTGATGACTATACCTTGCCATTCGGACTGGCCGCACGGAAGACAACGTGGGCGAGCAGGATTCTTCCGCGTCGGACCACATGTCCGACCGCTCGGCCGTGGCAGCAGAACCAGAGGACTGCTTAAAGAAAGAATAAAGGCTTAAAATGTTGGAAATTCAAACACAAACACATGGCTAGAAACCTTTTTCTTCCCGCCGAACCCAGCAGCTTGCAGGCACCTGCAGAGATTCTGCAGCACAGAGCTGGTCAGTTCCGGGCCAGACTCATCGACAAGGTAAGGGTGCGGATCATCCACAGCCAACACTTTGCTTGGGGGCGCGTACTTCGTCGACGAGCGACGCGCTTGGTGCTTCAGGTGCTGCTCCAACGACTAGGGAGTGGGGACGGCTTTCTCCACGGTTTCGCAGTACCACTGAACAATAAAAGGATGCAACTTTTAGACATAAATGTAGTTGCAATTATACTCAATCAGGAAACTCCGAAAACAAGGAAGTATATATATAGGCGAGTTTTCTGCCATTTTCCGTTGACGGCGTCATTTTCGCTTTTTATTTAGCAGCTATGAAGTAAATTTCAGACGACTCTCAGAGCCCCGACACAATGCACTTGCCTTCGAGTCATTGTAATAGGACAGCCTGTCCTCGTAGACAGCAATCTCGGCATTCGTCACGTCGAGGTGCTTCGCCACCAGAGCCACATGCCGTTTCCTCTTTTGCTCATCGAAGAGAGATTGGCGGGAGGCCTTCAGCTTCCCGAACAGGTATCTGTCCAACTCCCCTCCAGTCAAACATGCCCTCTTTGCCAACATAAGCCATGCTTGCTTGAGGGCGCCGGAGAACCGCGTGCAGTACCAGCCCGTGTTGCAGGACCTAAGGCAATAGACCAACGTAGAAATGATCCTATAAGTCTGCTGCAGTCATTGAAATAATGTTATTACTGTTACAACTGTTATTAATGACATTAGTTTGCAGATTTGCGAAGTAAAACAAAATCAGTTGAGTGACCGCTCGTTCTTCGTCTAGTGTTCTGTGTGTCTAGACTCTAGATATCTTCGGTAGGGGGGGGGGCGATGTGAAGAGATGTTTCGTGATTCACAATTTCGCGTGGCATCCAGTAGGCACAGGGAATTTTCCTGAGACAATTTTTTTGACATCACATTTCTGAGGAGGAAAGTTTAGTGTTCGGTACACATACATAAGGCCAAGGTCCTTCTAACTGTTACGTTTAAAATTGTGGACATCTAAATTGTGGAGCAGCTCTAGTCCCGTTAGCAGTAATTGATACTTTATTATGCTCATGACTCAACTTTCCTCCGTCAGGAAAATTCCCTCACGAAAATTTCTGTCACGCTCTACAAGGTATCCATGGTATAGGTCCCCGGCCAAATAAAAGGTACCTTTTGTTGTCGCCCCAGTAAGAATAAGCGATGACCCGCCTCGTCACGACTGTGAAGAAAAACCCCTGCGTAAACCTTGACGCAAAGTCGTGGTCCATTCTTGCAGGTAGGCCATCGTCGACCAAATGCCACAGAGCTTCAATAAATGGTTGCGTGGAGAACAGTTTGAGGGCATTTTCATTGAACGCGTCGATCTTCATAACCCCTTGGAAACTGGCAATTGCATTTTCGATCAAGGCATTTTTGTCCAATTGGCCGCCCCGGGAGACCCTTGACATCTCGCTCAGCTGTTGCCCTATCTTCCTTAATTTGCCCAATATATCCTTGTACCTTATTGCTCCCTTCTGCAAACGGCCAACGTTAGTAAGCTAACGCCAATGCTACGTGTGACAATCTTACCTGCAGTAGAATGTTCCTCCTCCGTAATGCACGCCTTGTTCCCTTTGCTTCTTCCAAGAGTTCATGCAGAATGGCCCCTTGCTCCCGTTGGATCCTAGCAAATTCCTGAAACCCGCCCGCCACATCAACTTCTTGCACTCCAAACCTATATACATAAGGAAATAGACATGATACAAATGTGCAACTTTTAGTCTGCACAAATAGTCAAAAAATTGTAAACAAATTAAATCGGAATAATTTATATTTAAGTTAAAAATGAAGTATTGCGAGTTGTATTTAGGTTTTTAATAAAATAAGTGCATAATTACCGCCGCTTTTCTTTATGGCCGGTATCCCTTGCCAGATCGATGGCTATCTCGTCCTCCGTGTTTAAACCTTCATCATCAAAGTTGCTTCCCTGACCAAGTTCGCTCTCCCGATCATCATTGCTCTCTTCATCACTTTCATGACTGTTCTGGCCAGCATCCCTGAGCTCAGCAGCAATCTCCAGCATGGCTGCTCGTTGATGCTCGCCGATCGTTGATGCTTGACCACTCACTGATGCTTGCTGATGCTCAACTGAGCGCTGATGCTCAACTGATCGTTGATGCTCAACTGCTTGCCGTTGGTCGGCCACCTGCCGTTGGTCAGCCACCTGCCGGTGCTCAGGCTCTTGCTGGTTCTTGGAGGCTTGCTGAAGGTGGGCGCTCCTCTGCTGCTTGGCAGCTCTTTGATGCTCGGTGGTTCTGCCATGCTTGGCGGAGAGATTTCTCCGCATCCCCCGGGCAGCCTCTCCATCAGTGTCAGTCTCCCAGTCACCATTGTCATCGCTCTGCTGATCGGTGCAACCGTCTAGATCGTCGTCACGCCCCTGATCTGTGATCTCCCTCCCCACCGTTTTTATTATTTCAGTGCGCAACTGCACTTCATCTTCAGTTGCAGTGTCGCTCAATGGGTAGGCCCTCTTCATCTCTGCCATTGTCTTGTCCAGAGGCTTCCAGTGCTTCACCGTCCACTCCCCATCATCATTCGACACTGGCTGCTCATAACCAACACAGATTCGCTCCTTGCGCCTCAGGATTAATTCCTCGTTTTTTCCCAAGCAAGCTTCCGCATCCTTGCAGGACGATAGTTCCTGTTCAAGCTCCTCGCAGAGTTGATCCAGGTACTCGGGATCAACGCCTGCAAAACAAATGAGGCCCCCTGTATTATTAGTTACCCCAAAGTCCACAGTACTTTACCACATGAATAAGGGGCTTTTCTTGCACATCAGGCTCAACCCTTTCACTGTTTTACAACTTTTTTCATTTATCCATTTCAGGACTAAAGTCATTAACATGTGCTAAGAATAGGTGCCACAAACATCCAAGTTTTACTGACGATTAACAATGCAGGGTATACAAGCCTAATACAATTATTAATTAAAACTTAATTGAATGGCTACATATCTTTATCGACTATTTTTCCAAAGCTCAACCAATTCCATAAGATTTTTTAAAGCTTCAATTTACATAGAAAGAGCCAAAACGGCAGTTAACGGCCTTGGAGGACCTTCATGAAGTTAGCCAAATATGCTGTTTGCCTTAAGGAGCCCAGTAGGCTACATACCAAAGCGCATCCAATTTCATGAAGTTTTGAAGGCAGCAGGGCTCAAACCAGTTTACTCAGATGACTCACCCTTTACCCACCGAGCGTGGATCAGCATGATTGCTCCTTTGAAGTCCATGCGACTGTGAATAACGTCCTCCTCATGTTGCCCGTCATCCTTCTTTTCACATCAAAGCCAGACTCTTGCAACTGCCTGACCACCTTCGGCCACCGCCGAAGGTCCACGAACTCGAACCTTTTTCCAAACGGCTGATCAGGGACAAACGTGATGATTCCCACGTTGAGTTTCTTCTCGATCCTCCCCTCCAGTTGACTGTATTCCTCCATTGTATTCCTCTGTTGCGCCGTCCCGGCCGGCAACTTGATTTCTTCCATTTTCTACGGACCCTCGTTATTGAGAGAGAAAAGAATAATTTGACAATACTACTACTTCTTACGATTGTCCAGGGACCTCTGGATAACAGGTCCCTAGATTGTCCCACAAATCACCTCATTGCAGCGAAAACGGCTAGTGTCCGGGCGGCGTCACCCTTCCTGTGGGTACCGTCCTTAATTTAGAATATTCAAACTTACCTTATCGAAGAATTGACGCCGAAACACAACCGCTTCCGTTCCGACCGGCGACCGCCTCCTCGCTTCTGCTCCCCCGGAGCCTAAAAAAATTGGCGCCGAGGCCGAAAATGGCCGTTGCGCAAAGCAAAAAACCTGCAGGGGCTACAGGCTGCAAGAGCTGGCTGGGCCAGGCTGGCAGCTCAGAGCTTACATGCAGCTATACTGTGAGCCGCCACTGCCGGCAGCAGCTAAAGTTCAGATTAACTTGTAAATCTCTCGCCCATATTGCCCCTTCTTCACTAGTGCATGGACATCGATAGCGCGGCGAAGCTTGCCTTTGGTAGAAACTCTCTGAAATTAGTGTGGCCACTGGCAAGAAGCATTATGTTTGGACTCCGGATATATGAAACAAAGTCTTTCTCACCTAAGAACTGCCATTTATTTGTGCAGCCTTCCATAATAAAGTTAAGGATCCGTGTCCAACAATTTTTGACCAAATTTCAAAATGATTCCATTAAATTTTGATTTAAAAAAATTGCTTCAATGAATGTGCTATTCGGATTCCAAGAACCTTTCGATACTGAGACATACCACAACAATTAAAAATAAGAAACATTTTATTTAAACACTTTTGGATTAACGTCATTACAGTAATAAAGTTGTGACCTGATTCATTCTGAAGGTATGTGCCAAAAATTGTGGTATTTTACTGAGAAATAAAAAATAGATACTTAGCGTTAATGTTTACTGCAGTAGTTGAAGTTGTGTCTTTGATTTAGGCCTCGCTTGGAAATAACACAGTGTAGTGTGGTTTTTCTTTCTTTTTCCAAGTAAGGCCTAAATATGGACATTGGACACCTGCAGAATAAGGACTAATATAGTTTTTCCAACATTCTCAGTTTTGCTGTTTTAATTTTTTGGACAAATGTCATCAATAAACTTGTAATAATGGTTTACTCTGAAAGTATGTACAAAAATTTGTGACATTTTATTGATTAATAAAATGTATAACACATTAAAATTTACTTTGGTCTTTTAAATTTTCTTCCTTTTTTGACCTTAGTATGTCAATTTTGACAGATTATGGTAAACTTATAGAGCTGTATTTTTTTATTGATGAAATACCACGATTTTTGGTATATGCAGTCCGTGTAAATCAATTTACAACTCTTATTAAAAATGTTAATACGAAAATGTCAAAACAGCAAAATTAAGAATTTTTGAAAAATGATCTCAGTCCTTACTCTCTAGGAGTCAATGATCTAAATAAGGGAAGATCACTTCAGTGACTGAAGTAAACTGCAACGGCTCATATGTTTTTTATCGGTGAAATACCACAATTCTGTAGTGTACTCACTCGCTCTTACTACGTCACGCGTTCTCTCTCGTGTTACTTGCATGCATCAGCGAATATACCAGTCAGTTGACTACTACCTTCTGTCTGATCAATACGTGTGGTGCGAGGTATTGCACAAATTCTTTGTCACATTGTCTCAGAGTTATAACCCTTATGACAACCCTTATTTATGATGTTGATTAAAAATGTTTAAGCGCAATTTTTATCTTATAAAGGCTGTTAATTGTCTGTCCCGGTATCCAAAGGTTCTTTACTAAACGTGTCAGCCCTGTATCTTTGTCATTTTAAATCAAATTTGACAGTTTTTTGGTACACTCACTGAAAAAAAAGCTAAATCTCTTGCTAATAACTTTAGTCTTAGACTTTTTAGTCTAAAAGTCTGAAATGTCTAAACTGCAAAGTAAAAGATGTGAGCTGAGATACAAAGGTACTCGGACAAATATGAGCACAAATTCACATTTCTTTTGCAAGTGGAATTTGTGGCACAGAGTATTAGTAAAAACAGGCAAGCAATTGCTTCAATGTTCCAAGTATAAACAAAAAAGTGCAAATTAAAATCCCTTTTGCCTCATTTTTTTTTTAAACGGGTGTTCACTGTTCATTGAAAAACTCACTTTCAGGGTTAGAGATGTCAAATGCTCGGAACCTGTTGTTTTAAAAGACCACTAGGTGGTGTATTAGTACCAAAAGTTAGCCGGGCCCAGCGAAATACCGGGCGCCAGGGATAGGCCTCCAAATGGTGGTCCTTTACTCCCGCGTCGACGCGACTATTATCACCTCACCCTAGCCGGCCGCACGACAGGTCGGTACTTGGTCTGCTTATGTTGGTCGGAAACCGCTGCGCGCAGGCTGCGCATTTGCGCAGTCCCACAAGGCTGGCCCATGAAATGGAACTCTGTACACCTGGAAGTCCATCGAATTTTTGAGCAGGACCAAGTAGGGGTTAATGCAAAAAAAAACAGTACATTGACTGAAGTAACACTTAACGGGTTTCAGAGGCCCAATGGAAAACTTTTGTGAAAATATTATTAAATATCATTTTTTAACATCAGCAAGTGGAACAACTAATATTAATGGCAAATTGGGTTAAAATCAACGAATAAATTTATTAATATTAATTAATAGTTATTTTAATATTAATATTATATTTAAAAATTTTATTAGCATTTATATTAATAAAAGTTGTAAACTGGGTCGTTATAAAGGTGTTTGCCAAATTTTATAACTTTGCGTTGAAAAATACTAAAAATACAGGCCATCAAAAATTACTATAATAAATTTATTTGTTGATTTTAATCCAATTTGCTATTAATATTAGTTGTTCCACTTGCTGATGTTAAAAAATTATATTTAATAATATTTTCACAAAAGTTTTCCATTGGACCTCTGAAACCCGTTAAGTGTTACTTCAGTCAATGTACTGTTTTTTTTTGCATTAACCCCTACTTGGTCCTGCTCAAAAATTCGATGGACTTCCAGGTGTACAGAGTTCCATGG